GAAATGTCAGAACTGAAACCACAGGACAAACTTTTCTCCTTTCACAGTCATCTCTCACCTTTCTGCTCACAGGCTAAAATGATTTAAAAGAAACTTCTGCATCTAAGTGGAGGTATATTTATAAGAATTGGTCTCATTACAGAAATGCTCACTAAATGTTAGGGGACATATTGCAGGCTGGAAAAGGATCAAGAAAAAAACCCCTCTTGATAAATGATTAATCTACGTTCATGAATTCTTCTTTCCTGATAAAATCCAAGGGTTTCTCTTTTGTACCATTAGATTTTCTGCCATTGTCTTCTTCCAAAGAATTCTCATGATTGTGTTCATCAATCAAACAACTCAATGACTTCACTTCCACTTTAACTTGTATCTTGCGGTGCACTCACTTCCCCCTGTGGCAGTCAGTGGGGCTCCCTAATAATCAAACATGCAATTGTTTTGTAAAACCTTTGCTGTGAAAAATGTGTTGACTTCCGCACGACAGCAAGTTTATTGGGCTTATAAAGCAAATCAGTCACGTCAAATGTCAAAGGGTATTTGAATGCAAACAGCTGGATTGGCTTTCTATGCAGGCTGAATGATGTGACGTAGAAATTAAAGCCGTCCTCTGTGTGCACACGGGGGCTTTTTTGTTTTGGCTTTTGTGGTGTATAAATACTGCTGTTACATACAGGCAAGACAGACTCTGATCTGCTTTCAAGCTCAACATTTTGGATCGATCGTCACACGGTCAAGGTAAAGTAGATTATGATCAGTCTAATTAGGCATTTTTTATTGTATCTGACTGGACATATAGCCAAATGCATGCTGCTGACTTGATTTAGATATCTGTAAAAGAAACAAATGGAATCGAATTTTATATAGTCATGTTTTCAATATACAGCATCTAGCAAAAATGAAGGGAAATCTATTTTTTTTCCTATTTTTTTTTAAATACATTTTCTTGCTTTGTGATTTAATTCTACTCTTATATTTAATTTTTTTGCAAAAACACAGCCTATTTGTTTTAACATGCTGGTCATCAAGCTGAACTTAAAAAATAAACAACAGCATATGATATGAAATTAAACAATACAAAGATTGTATTTTTTTATCGTTTTTTTTTTTTAAAGCTTTGTTTTGACTGTTTTTTATCTGAAATTTGTAAATATTCATTTCATTTTTTCTTCATCCTTTAGAGATGCATTCCTTTCTCCTGTTGGTCCTGTGGGCTGCTCTGGGTTTAACCAGCTCTAATATCCACCAGCATCACATAGAGACTCTAATGGACAATGGTTTTTATCGCTTTGTTTTTCCCATTTCATTTATTTAATTTTTTAGCTGTTAAATATTAACCAGTCTCTTGTTTCTTTTTATGGTCTTCCCAGCACTGGTGTTGCGAGTGCCAGATTCTGTTGGAAGCATGGTGGAAGTTCCCCTAACCTGTGGAGCCGCTTATCAGCCTCATGAGGTGTTTTGGAAAAAGAATGGTAATAAAATAGCTTGATTTTCATTAGTAGTACTATTTGTAGAGCAAATTTATTTGTAAAAGGCCTAATTCAGTGTGTCCTTTTAAACAAAAACAAAAAAATAAAGACAACCTGATATTTTTGTATCCTGTGGTTTAAGTTAACAAAGACATAGGAAGTTCACAGACCTAAGAGGAACATCACTGTTGCTAAAACTGAATTTCTCAGGGGAGGAACTGACGCCTGCTGTCCAGGGGAACCATATCACGGTTTTGGTTAAAGAGATGAAAGCCGGGAACTACTCGTGTCACCTCACTTCCACTGGAGAATACCTGAACCACACGCTGATCCTGGTCCAGCTGGATCCAGACAACAGGACCGTCATACTGGAGGAGAAATCTCCCCAAGAAGGTGAGGCTAAAGAGAAGATGGGATTGTTTGGAGGGAAGTATAGATCAGGAGGTTTGAAAAAAAACAGTTAAAAATGGGATGGATGCTTCTGATCTGGTAAAATAGGAAAAAAATAAGAATGAGAACTGATCAGTTTCAACCCTTGTGTAGGATTGTTTGCTCACAAATTTGTTTTAGTCACCCATGTTGAAGGGTTCCAAGTAGTCATAGTCTTGCTATAGCATTAAGGCTTTGACTAGAGTTTCTGGCCTCACAACTAGTCTTTTTTTAAAATCTTAAAGTAAGATGAGGAAGACAAGGCTTTACAAGTTCCAGATGTGTGTTTCTAGGTTCTTTCTTGATCTTCTGGATTAGTTGAATGATTGCTCTATTGGTTATTTTGATGGACCTGCTCCTCCTGAGGAGATTCTCCTTTGTCCTTTGCAGTCCTTTGAAAACTGAACCTCAAAATGTTAAATATCTTCCCTTAAATTTCACAAATTCTTGCTCTTTAGATCTTCCAGCCTACTTCATGTTGTCATGCAGGTTGTGTCTTAGTTAAATCTAGATTCTACAGCCCAGATCAGTGCTGGGCATGAGTAGTGGCACTGAAGCAAAAACAGTTTGGCATTTTGGCTCACATAGACCAGGTTAGTTTTGATAACTTTTTGTGAGGATTAATGAGTTTGGAATTTTTAGGCTTATTGACAATCTATTTGAATGTTTAAACTAAGCATTAAAAATGTTCACTGAGCTATTCCAAATATAAATGTAGTAGTTTTTAATACTTTTGCTTTTCTCTTGTGGAATTTGCATGATGTCTGTATTCATGAGTGATTAATCCTGTGCACCATGCAGTGGCGCCAGCAGGGGGTGGCCATGGCTAGCCTGACGTAGTCCGACTCAATTCTAGTCAGAATATGAGTCTGATACTGCTCCATAGAGCTGTG